TTTTATGGATAAATTCCACTCATTCTAGATTACATGTCACATATCCAGTGATACTGAATAGGATTAATTCATGGGTTTAAAGGTCTGGTCTATACAGAGATGGCCCCACTGTGTACCACAGTCTAAATTGCCATTCCTGTCAGTGTACATAAGTGTAGTCTATAAAGTCCATGTGGAGCAATTCAGCTAACCCTGAATTATGCTGAAAATAAATGTTCTTTTGGGCTTGGTTACTCTAAACACCAAGTGTTAAATTCAGTATCTACAAATAGACATCCATTGCCATCTAGGATACCACAGGATACCCCTCTAAACCTCTAGCTGCTGGACCAAAAGGAAATGGATTCTGTGGCAAATCTGCCCATTCTGTTGGGCATGCTGGACTCTCCATGGCATCTTAATTGTCACAAGAACCTCATGTTGAAATAGCTATCTCAGCCCTAGGTCACATGCTGATGTGGAGATACTTAGATTTAAGAGATAGGATTTTTTATTTTTTACTTTAAAAAACTTCAGCTAATTTAGGTTCTAAACCTTTCTTTTTAGTAACAGAGAAGTAAGGGATGGGCCTTTTTCTGTATGATAGTTCCTCAGCTGAGTGCTAGAATAATCCTCCTTTGATGTGAGGGTAAGATTCAGAGCCAGACTGCAAAGCACATGTATTAGCTTGGGATTTCACCTTCAGTCACAAGGCCTTTTCTCTTTGCCAGGAAAGCACTAAAAATATATTAAAGGAATAAGATGCTTACAAATGGCCCTTCCCTGAAGACAAGATGTGGTAGGTTGACTCTGGTTATATGCCAGGTGCCCACCAAAGCCTATCATTCAGTTGGACAGGCAAGAGAAACGTATGAAATTCTTGTGAGGCATTACAGGGAGAGATCACTCGTTAATTACCATCATAGGCAAAAAAAAATGTGTGGATATTAATTGAATTTATTACCAATCAAATTCAGAGTAGGATAACAAGAAATTAAATCTTAACCACTTTCCCTCCATCCCTCCCTTCTTCCCAGGCTCAGTTTTACTCCTGAGTTACTACCTCCTCCCCACAGTGACGCAGGGAGAGGGGAATGGGAGCCGTGGTCAGTTCATCACACATTGCCTCTGACACTCCTTTCTCATCACTGGCAGGACTCCTCACACTCCAGCTTGGGGTCCCTTCTCCCAGGAGACAGTCCTCTGTGAACTTCTCCAAGGAGAGTCCTTCCACAGGCTGCAGTTCTTCATGAACTGCTCCAGCATGGGTCCCTCCCATGGGGTGCAGTCCTTCAGGAACAAACTGCTCCAGCGTGGGCTCCTCTCTCCACAGGTCTCTCCTGCCAGGAGCCTTCCCACAGGGTCACAGCTTCCTTCAGGCATCCACCTCTCCTGGCACTGGGTGCTCCATGGGTTGCAGGTGGATCTCTGCTCCCCCATGTACATCCATAGGCTACAGAGGCACAACTGTCACCCCTTGGGCTGCACCACAGGCTGCAGGTGAATCTCTGCTCTGGTGCCTGGAACACCTCTTCCCACTCCTTCTTCACTAATCTCTCCAGGTGCTGTTGTGCAATTGTTTTATTTCCCTTAAATATTTTATCCCAGACGTGCTACCACCACTATGGGCTCAGCCTTGGCCAGCAGCAAATCCATCCTGGAGCTGGCTGGCATTGGCTCTGCTGGACTGAAGGGAAGCTTCAGGCAGCTTCTCACAAAAGCCACTCCCACTATCAGAAGCTTGCTACATAAAACCAGCACTGGAGAAAACACCAAACAGCTTAATAATACAAAGTGGCTTGTACCACATTTATGGATGGCAGTAAAAGTGTGCATATTTTAAAGAGAAAGCTCTGTGTGTAGTAAGTGCCTCTTGTGTTTGTGGTCTTGTGGCAGTAAAATAATAAAGCCACTGCAATTGGCCTTTTTTCAAGTGGCAGGTGAACCAATGTTTTTTTTAAGACAATCTGTTACAACACGAGCAGGGCCTACCAATTTCTCCAGGCAGTGGTGAGACATAATTGGGTAGCAAGCACCTGCAGAGACTAATTCCACACACCTATTTTAAACACACAGTTTAAGATAAAAAGAAGTAGCATTTGTAGGTTTGTATCTCTCTCCACTTATTTAAATGGAAGACTAGAATACTGCTTTCAGAGGACACCTAACACCTAACTCCTAAATGGTTAAATGAGATGTAATGAACCCTTTCCTTCTGTGTTAAATTTACTATATATATATAAAAGGGTAAAAGAAAGGGAAATTTAAATAGACCTAATACAGTGCACAACAGTTTTTTTCCAGTTTCTATTCAAAGATGAATTTTACCCATGGTAAATTAGAATTCTTTGGAAACTCGCCCATAACCTTTAAACTTTTCTGGTTGATGATCTTAATACACAATAAAGGCTTTTTATCAGTAAATTATGTCTGGATGGAAACCAAACTGTGACTCCTACTCCTTCTCCATGCCACAACATTTTTGCAAAGCTGAACAAACATATTACACCAAGCCCAGGTCACAGAAGTGTAAATACCAATACACTATATTAACACAAAACAGTCCAAAAATAAGACACAGCCAAATTATTTCTGCAACATGCAACAGCTGAACAATGCAATATCTTTACCTGGAAAGATACTGCATAATTGTAATCTATAGTTAAGTATGTTTAAAATGGATTATCAATCTTTCATTTTTCCCTCTATGCATTCATGGCTAAAAGTAAAATGGAATTGTAAGCTTAACAGTCTCATTTCAGAAACTTCCTGTAACTACTATTAAAAGACCATGATCACATATGCAGATTTGAAGAAATCAGATTACCTGAAAAGGCTTTTGTTATCTGGCATAATCCCTCTTTTCTGCAAAGAAAATGCTGGATTTCTGGAAGTAGGTTTACCTGTATGTAGAAAGAGAAGCTTTAAAGATTTCATTCAAAAAAAACGTTCTTTTTTTCTTCAATGGAAAATGCCTTAAGTAGGTTTGTGTTTAATTTATCAGAGATACCTCATGTGTAAAACTCCCATCAATATGAAGAGGAAATGATAACTTTGCCCTCCTTGTGACGTTGGAATAATGAAAATAAGGTGTAGACTCTTCCTCTGTGTCCATAAAACCCCAAAATTTTAAGCCTTTACCTCTCCCTATGGCTGTTGAATGTTGACCCATTCCCTGTCCCTTTTTCAGTCTCTGCAGCTTCTCTGTTCTGTTCAGTTACCAACCACTGTCTCTCCCTGCATGGAAATACCCTCTTGAATTGCTGTGCTTGGGATCAGTAGTAAGCCAATGTAGCTAAATCACAAGCAGGCTCTGCAGCAAAACACTGCTGCACTTTGGTACGGACATGCCAGCAGCAAGTAATGTTAGTTCAATATTTAAAGTTTTCTGGAGGAATGGGCCATCTGGTTTAAGTCCCTGCTCTGCTGCAGACTTCCTGAGAGAACTTGGAAAATTCCTTTGATCACCTTGTGTCTCAGTTATTCATGTGTGACACATCTGGACATTGCAGCATGCTGTCAAGGATTATTATATTGCACAGCATTAGAGGCCCAGATATGTTATTATAGGTAGAATGAGAAAAAAGCAGTTTGCAGAAGCCTAGGGTGCTTTATTGTCTGAGCATATTCAAAACATGTTTCTAGCAAACTATAACTGCCATAAAAATTTCACTTTGCATACACTTTGATAGGGAATCCTTTCCCAGGGAACCCCAGTGCACATGCTCGAAGCTCTGACCTCTGTGGCCACCAGTATCAACAAAGGCACCTTTTAAAAGCAGCTCCATTTCTCTCAGACCCTCAAGCTGGAGTCAATAATTCAGAGTCTTGCCAATATTATCTGTGCTATTTTACTTAAAGTACAAGTCAAACTGTACCTGTAACTTGGCCACATTTTATCAAAGACTTCAGTTTGTATCACTCACATATCTTTATCAACAGGTCAAGTGTTTACATAGAAATTACATATCTAAGTAACCCAAACTGTGTCCACAACATGCTCAGGTGAGAAAAAAAATCCTGAAAATACCAAGATAATTGGTACTACCAATGCTTTGGACCATGCAGAAGCAGGTTGCAGGCCTTGAAGGCCTTGGTCCAGATTACACATTATCGATTGTAGGAGCATTGTCACTGTTTGCAGAAGTGCCTAAATTATGTTTTACAAGGGAGGAATTGCATAGGTGAAACTAAGTAGTGATATAAGATATGAAGCCTAAATTCATGCATCTCTATCTTCTGCCTATACTATCATTCTGAAATATTGCATGCATTTTCTAATTGTTTCTCATTATTTCTAAATTTCCTTTTCCAACAGGGAAAATTGCTTAAATAATTGCCTTTTTAGACAATTTTGCAGCCAGACATGCTGGTTGGGGGTAGCCAAGAATCCAAAAGTTCAAGTTAAAGAAGAGCAAAGGTAAACTTGACTCTGAGTTGTAACAGTTTTCAGTATTTACATTTACATATTTACAAAATACTTACAATCAAACTAATATACTATGTTCAAATGAGAAATTGCTTATGATAACTGGATGTGATATAAAGAAGAATGAAATACTGGTACCTGACAAGTATTTCTCAGTAAACAGAAAACATGAAAAAACATTTCTGCTAAGCAATGCTGCTGCAGTATAAAATAAACATTTTATACCTCTCTTATTATGAGTGAGTGCTGCAAATCTGGGCTACCCTGTCCTTCCATTCCCACAAAAGATAGTACAGTAATCTCATACCTTCTGGAAATGCTCTATATTTCTCAAATCTTCTGTTTGAAAGCAGCCAGTACCATCATTTCTTCTGGAAGATAAGCAGATGAAAAGATCCCAAGGGGTCAAACCACCTGTTCGGAAAGAAAAGAAGCACTTTGAGAAAGAAAATATCATGCTATTCTTATTTGCATAAAAAATACTTTTGAGCAAAATCCTGAAGAACAGCAAACTGTTGAGAGCTAATTACATGAACAGCTACAGGTGGCAGAAGGATAAAAGACATATTTGGTACCACAGTTCAAGCTTTGGAAGTATATTTCACAGTGGGTAATCCCTGTTATACTTGCCTGCTGATGTCCAAACCCTGCTGTTTGACCAGTTTAACATTCGGAAATTAAAAAGTTTGGTAACACAATGCTGCTTTAAGTTGTTCTTTGTTTTCTGAACTCCTCAATAAGCATGCTTATAACATGTATCCAGTATGTGCAGTGGTGGTATTCTTCTGAGGTGTTTCTTTAATGGGAAGTAAATTTTACAGGACATATTACTGGCCATGCTCTTGCAAATAGCAGGAATTTTGGTGTAGTGGATTCTTAAATATTAGACACCAGACTGCCAGAGCTAGAACTGGTGTGCAAGTGGTAATTAGATTGCTAGCTTCCGAGCTAATGCGATGCTTCCTTCCTGGGGCAAAGCTGGCCTGAAGATACAAATAGGTCTTGAACTTGCTGATATCTCATCATGTGATGTGGTTTAGAAATGCCACTGTTGCTTCAAATAACCTTGGTCAGCTTCCTCACATGGTCATTTGTTTTGTTCTGTATACAAGCTTTGTTATATGGACCAGTTAGAGATGGTGACAGCTCACAACAGAATTATTACATCTGCCGAGGACACCATATGTTCAATAAAGAGTGAATTATTTCATTGACAGGAAGACAATCAGTAATAATGAACTTACAAACAGAAAGGGCAGTCAAAGAAGCAGTACAGCATCCAAAAGTATAGAATCAGGTCTCAAAGCTCCCTGCAGAATAGGTATTTCAGGGACTGGCTGGTTCTTTTTCCCAAGGTTGGGAAGACTACATGTATTTTATTCCATGTTGTGCTATCCATCTGTGATACCTTCTTAATTTTCTTAGACTACCCCCTTAATTTGGTCCCACTGATGGTGCACAGAGGTATTTACTTTATTTATTTCCTTTCTTTCTTTCTCCAAAATGTATTTTTTTCCTATCCCAATCATGATTACAAATGTCAAGCAGGGTAAAGATTCCACTTAAGGAGATTTAACACTCAATTTATGCTAAGTACAGTAATGAACTGATTGTATAGAATGGATCCAGGTCTGTGAAAGTAACTATCACTTTTTTATGTTTATAAGCACTGTGACAAAGCTGAAGAGATCAATTTTCAGTTATACTGCGTTTATTACTCTAACAAGTTCTTCAATTTCACATTATGAGAACCAGTATTATGGTATAAAAGTAATTAGGTCATATGAAATTTAGGAAAGACAGATTCACTACATGCTTCTTTGTGAAAGAAACAACAAAAAAGCCCCTGCAGGTAGATAAAAATGTCACAGATAGCAAACAAACGAAGCATTAAAGAAATGTACAAGCAAATATCTCACTTTAGTGCAAAAGTTTGGCAGTGCTAACAACCTACTCAATGACCTCACCAGCTATGTAATTATCAGATAAGCAAGTTTTTATGCCTCTGACTAGTAAACACCTTTGAATAAATCATTATAATTACATATAAATCACAATGCCTAGTTGTGTGCAAATTGAAAGGGAGCTGGAGGGAACTCCATTTCTCAGAAGCAGTTCATTTCCTTCCCTTGTTTATTGTGACACATCCTGCCCTGGGAAGAATTTGATCCCTGACTCCAGAGGATATGCTGCACTGTGTACTTGCCTTTAGGATACATCAGAGTGATCAATACGAATGTACCTAAGAGAAGAAAAGGAAAAAGCACCCTCAGATCTGGTTTGCTTCTGAGCCAGTGCCCAGGAAGTAGAAAAGTTCAGGAGAGCTTGAATGCCTGCCATTACTTGTGTTTTCTATTCTGCGTAATTAAACCTCTAGCCAGTTATTTCAGTACAGAACAATCAGAACTGAAACATGTCTATTTATAGAAGTCAGGAGACTTCCTATTAGAAAAACAGCGTACATCTAGTACTGTCTCTCAGATTCAGGCTGACAGAGCAGTGTGACTTCTATTTAAATCATCAATATATCCCTCATTAACTATACCTGAAAAAACATTATTGGAAAAGAAAACCAAAAGAGTCATGGGTTACCTCAGCTATTTCGTTCTATAACAGGTTCCTCTATTTCATTTTGCCTCGAATTTGCCCATGTCACTCCTTCCAGAGCTTAATTTTTTGTGGAAAATGAACATCTATGGTCAGGAAACCAACAGTCTGTCTTCCTTCTGCATATTTAATAATGGTAGAAGTATATCTCACGGAAAAAAGTGCTACTGTTATTAGTATTCCAGTATCACATGGGCCACACAAAGGACTGAAGATTCCTTCCACAGCACTTCTTTTTAAAGTGCTTCTTTTTATCTCATGCAAGATACATGAGAGCTAAAACATTCTACAATAAAAGAGAAAGAACAAAAGTGATAGTAATAATAAACACCATCTGCATGGAAGGACTTGTGTTTCAAAATGTTTCTAGAGATTTTAATGAAGAAACTTTAATAATGTTCATAACATTCCATTTTCAATGTACACACTTTTGCTGGTTTCCTGCAGACTTCAAACCAGAAGCAAGCTTTTACAGGACATTTGAGGGGGAAGGTTAAAAAGAATGCTTCATATCTGAACAATTTAATTCCTAGAAATTTGCATGAAGCTTTTCCCACAGAATGAACTTTGTCTCTAGTTATGGAAATCTGTTTGCTTTATTCAGCAAACCAGTGGAGCTCAGCACACAGGAGTCGTAGATCAGTTAGGCAGTATGAAATCACACCTCATGGAGATACTCTCTACTCTGCATTATTTTGCACTTGGACAAGTAAAAGGGTGGTAACAAGATGAGAATATGCAATTGCATGTTCATTTGCTCTCTGAATATCATTTCATATCAAGATAGTTAGTTCAGTCTGTTAATTAAGGCCTTGCACACACAAGGAATGTTCATCTGCAGAATTATATCTAACTATGGAGGCAAAGTGAGCTTGAAGTGGATACAAGCTGGCAGCATGATGCTTTTATTCACCTGTCTTTTGCCAGCTCTTAGCCCCTCCTCTCCTGCAGTTTTTGAAGCCATAATCCAGTCCCATCTCAAAAAGTATTTATATCTGCAATGTGTATCTCATATTTACCTAAAAATATCCACCCAAGTTTCTACTTCAATTAATAGCACTACAGCATAATTTGATTGAAAACTGATGTGATCACCTTTTATTCTGAATTAGTCAAAGAACATGCTATTCAATTCAGAGTATGAAAACTGAAAACTTTTCCAACTGAAATTTGATATAATGTAAAAATTCTAATTTTCAATGAGATAGCACTGTTTTCATTGGCTTTGACACTTATTTTTCATTTGAAATAATTAAAATAGCTAATGTAGAAAAACTAATTTAAAAGATAATAGTTTAGGGAGAAAAGCAAATGTTTTTTAGCAGCAGAGGAAATAGCAATGCAGACATCAATAAAAACATTCAACTTTTTCTGCAACAATATTCTGCAGAGACTTTTTGTATTCTGATATAATAGACCAAAGTTAACAGAAACCAAATGAGAATTGTAGGATTTAATGGGGTTTCAAGTTTACAGATAAACTTCAAGAATTTCTGAAGATGATTCCTAAAGTAAAGTGATTTTATTCCAGTCTTTGAAATGATCACATTCTCCCCATGAGCTATGGCATTAGAGGCTAAATCTTGCAGGAAAACTGTTAGATGCAGACATTTTAATCTTTTAGGTGTGTATTATTTAATTTAATCAAATGACTAAGTTTCATTTCATTACCACAGGCTGAAATTTCATTTTGCATTATCAAGGTTTCCATCCTGAATTTTGGAATGAAAGAACTTTAAAAATCAAATAAAATCATCTTTCATGTTTATCTTCCTGTATTTCATTCATTCTGGGAAGTTAAAAAAAAAAAAGCGCCATTTGGATTTATTTTTATTTCATCTCAAGTCAATTTGCAATTTTGCATTTGCTCACACCACTACCTTGAAATCAATCCGTTTATGAGCTCTGGAGATGAAGACAAGAAACAGTCAGCATTTATTTGTCAAGAACACATTACATAAAAATAATCTCCTTTCTTCTGACAGAGTAATTGATCTAGTAAACAGAAATCAGAGAAACCGATTTAGTGAAAAAAAGCAAATATTAGCAATGAAACAATTTGACTTTAGTAAATCTTTAGACATTGTTTCCACATAACATGTAACCTCATAATACCTATGAGGTGATTGCACATCTAGTTGAAAAAATGAAGTCTAATCCACTATCAAAGTGGATTTTTTTGAAGTAGAACTGCAAAAAATACTCCACTGCACATTCAATTCTGAACAAATTTTTTGGTAACAAATTGAATGATGGAATAATAAGTGCATTTATAAATAGCAAGTGACATCAAGTTGAAAAGAAGTATAAGGACATTGCAAAGCATGGTCAGAATTCAAAATAATTCTGATAATTGGTCCAAATTCAACCCAAGGAAATTCAAAACATGTTAAAAGTGCCATAGTTCATAAGAAGAAATCAAATGGAGATGTATAATTTGCCATAGAGCACTACTGCAGAGAAGGACCAAATATATAAACTACATCTGAACTAACAATACAATATTGTTTCCAAAAAAGAAAAAAAGCAAACCAACCAACAAAGCAAATATAAATAATTTTTCAGCTGTTGGCAAGTATTTATTGATGCTGAAAGAGTTGAATCCACTCCTTTAAAATTTGATTTTTAATTTATTCCATGACAATTCCCCACAGAATTCTAAATAATAGCCCTGCAGATATCAAGAATTGTAACTAAACCTGTTTATGAGGGTTACGGTAGTAACAATGTTCAGGGGTTAATCCTTCTGCTTCATTTTGTTTTGGTCATACCTCTCCAGTAAGACTGTTCCCCAGTTTTGGAAAACA